CTCAGTCAGTAAAGTGTCTGCCACTCAAATATGAGGGCCTGGGTTTGGATCCCCAGGACCCTAATTTAAAGTGTGTGTGTGTGTGCCTGTGTGTGGGGGGGGGCGGGGTAGGAATTTAGCAGGGCCACTGTATTTGACTTGAAGACTCCTTGTAGAAAACTGATTGTTTTCCATGACTGGAGAATCATTTTGCTGAAGAGACACTGCAGCCACCCAATGACTCTGGTCACAAGACACCTCAAACACACCTGAGGCTCTTATATTATTGTGTATTGCAAACAATACACAAAGTCATGGAGCATGTGATGTTCTCCTTCAGTAAAACATGTAAATTAGATTAGGGGCCTTGGCATGAGGAAATACTTTGTGTAGCAATCAATAAATATGCCTTTGTATGACTGTTCTGTTTCAGTCCATCAGAGAAGCTGGACCTTTCTGCTACCACATAGGCCTTAACATTTCATTTTGGAGTGCCTTTCTTCAACTGACTGGAGCTACATGGTGCACCCCGGTGTGTGTGTGTGTGCGTGTGTGTGTGCGCGCGCGTGTGCGCGTGTGTGCTGATGGGCTGGAAAGATGGCTCAGTGGTTAGGAGCATGTGTTCCTCTCATAGGACATGAGTCTAGTTCCCAGCACCCACACTGCCTCACACCATTGTTACTCCAGTTCCAGAAGAGCTAACACTGTCTTCTGGCCTCAACAGGCACCAAGCACACTCGTGGTACACAAACCTGTGTAGGCAAACCATCTATACACATAAAAATTTTAAAAGCTTTTTTTAAAAAAAATTGAGAATGTGTCTGGTGAGACCTGGGGAGACAGCTCAGTAGTTAAGAGTACTATTCTTCTCAAGGACCCAAGTTTGATTCCCAGCACCCACCATGGAGCTTGCAACTGCTTTTGTAATGCCAGCTCCGGGGGACATCACACCTTCTTCTACCCAAGAGCACTGTACTCACATGTATAAGCCCCTCACATACACATAATTAAAATTATAAAATATTTCTTTAAAACTCCTGTAGCAACGTGCAGCTGGGCTCCTAGTGCTCTAGTGGCAGACAGACAAACACCCAGAGCTCACTGTCTAATCAGCTTAGAAGAGGGAGTGAGCTTCAATTCCAGGGAGACACTGTCTCAAAAAATACAGGGAAGAAACTGAAGACACCCAACATCAACCTTTGACCTCACATGCACACACCCAGACATACACAGCCAAGTAAAAGAGACAGAAATGATCTAAACTAATCAACAGTAGGATGGTTAGAGATGAGGAAAGGCCACACTATTTCCAAATGTTCTGTTGAAAAGCATCTAGGAAAAGGAAGCATTTATTCTCATACTCTTTATTTCCAATGTCTAAAAATGATACAGAACTGCTGACCTGAAAATACAATCCCAGATTAAAAACATGTCATAAACCCTACACATACACACATCTACTTATAAAACTTTACAGAGAATGTTAGGGAAGGAGACATTGAAGACTACTCAGAAGGGCAGGTACACTCTAGAAACCTTCAACACGGCAGTTTGGGGCTCCTGCTTGTGGGCAGACAGTGGTGGCCTTTTCATCTCTTAACACCATGGTGTGTGTGCCTGTCTGATAAAGCAACAGGCCAATAGATCTTGGAAATAAAAAAATCGCAATATAGGAAGAAAAGGGCGTAATTCTTCTTGACTCATAAAGGTCCCATCCTAACAGAAGAAGGGACGCAAAGAAGAGGGAAGGTAAAGAAGACAAACTACAACAGACCTAGAATATAGTGGGCAACGACAGCCTGAGTGTGTGCCTTACAGCATTTCCTGTCCCAGAGTTACAGCTCTATTCCATGAACATACTACCCGAATGAGCCCACACGGGCTAATTAGATCCTCTGCCTAAAAGCCTGGTGTTTCAGAATAAAACATTGGTTTTGATCTGTAACTAGGAAAACAATGAAGCAGAAAATTTTCAAAAACTTAATATAAAAATACTTTTCCTAAATAAGGTTTTTTTTTTTGGGAGGGGGTCTGGTTTTTCAAAACAGGGTTTCTCTGTTTTGAACTGTCCCAGAACTCATTCTGTAGACCAGGCTAGCCTTGAGCTCACAAAGATCTACCTGCCTCTGTTGGGATTAAAGGCACTGGCCACCACAATCCAACTTAATTCTTTTTTTTTTTTTTTGAGAGAAGAAAAAGGCTTAATAAAATGAAAGCAAAGCCTGACAAAGGGTTGTGGATATAATATAGTTCAGTAGTAGAAGCCCTGACTAGCATTCACAAGATGACAGGTCTGAACATAACCAGGTATAAATAAAATCAACTAGTAATCAAACCTCCTATTAGCTGTAAGCACTTTTTCCTCTACACTTTTGGGGTGGGGGATGGGGCGAGACAGGAAATATTACATAGCTCTCACTATCCTGGCACTCACTATTTAGACCATGCTGACCTCGAACTCAGAGACCCACCTGCCTCTGTCTTCTAAGTGCTGGGATTAAGAGGGTGTGCATCACCTTTTTATATATACCAGTCCTGGCAAAAAAATTTTATGTGTGTGATTGCATGAATTCAGATGCCCCGGATGCGTGCGGAAGCCTGTGGAAACTAGAAGGGTGCTGGGAACCAAACCTGGAAGTCTACAGGCACAGTAAGAGCTCTTATCTGACAAACCATCTGGCCAGCCCAGAGGAAGGACAAGTGATTGAGGAATCTAACTACCAGATGGTTTAGAGATCAAAGGATCTGAGTCCATAGCCGGTCAGTACTGGTAACTACCAACTGGAACAGCATTTTCTTTTCAGCATTCTCTCAAAGGACTCGGGTTCACATGCTCTGAGGACTAAATAAGCAGAAAGGGAGCACAGGAAGTGGTGTACAACTCATCAAGATAAGGACACCTGAACTGCTTTTCTAAGGGGAGTCTACAGTCATACAGCTTTCCATCTCGTCGTCTAGCTGTTACTACAAAAATGGACAAATTGGTCAAACACCACCTACAGCTTGCAAGGAATAAGTCACAGTGGGCCAGTGGAGGTGTGGGGGGGTAACTATGCAAGGCTTCCCAGCAGCACAGCCATGGTCAGGACATTTTACTGCCAAGCCACTTGGGCCCCTCCTCCCCAGCTAGACAGCCTGGCTCCCCTACATTCCCCTCAGGAGATAGGGTGGAAGTACACAGCTCCACTTTGTAAGGCATAGAGAGCAGCTGAAAGTCCTGCTTGGCCTCTCTGGGCAACCACAGGCGCCAATAAATCAGCCACAGGCGATTCTCTCATCCCCTTCCCGGCTTCAAGTGGGAGCAGGATATAATGCAAACGAGCACTGACTGGACTTGGAAGATAAGTGGTCTGGGTTGACATTCCTCTGCAAATGACTGCCATCACAGTCAGGTGTATCTCTGCTTCACCTCTGCAGGCTTAAAACATACTTGTAACACAGAGACGGTACTACCATTTTAGGGAATTCGCCTCTGAAAACAGCTGGCAAACATTAGCACATCAAACTACACAAACAGCAACAAAAACCTGAGTGGGAACTCTTTATAGCTGAAAGGCATTATAGGACTGGGCACAAACATCTAGATTGTGTGTGTGTGTGTCTGTGCATCGGGTTCTTCCTGCTGACCACCTCCTGATGTGTCACTGCTTCCTAATTGTATCCCAGCCATCTGTCTGGCAGTGGGACACACTGTTTATTCTTAACTAAATCATATCTAGGATGCTAAAAGGAAACAGTGGCCAGGCACGGAGCCATACACCCAGGAACCTGATGTAAGATCGATCAATAATTCTATGACAGCCTGGACTATATACCAAGATTCAAAGTCTCAAAAACCAAAATAAACAAGTCTCAATGCCTATCCCTGTGTAAGGGTGAATTGGTGTTGGGGGTATGGAAAAAAGGGAAATGAGCTTTTGGCTCCAAAATACACTATGCACAACTCACTCAGAAATAGTGCCATACCTACTACACAGGCCTAACTTCTCAATCTTGCCAGCCAAGTGTAATCACTTCTGGTGGATACATGGTCCATAGCAGAAGAACCTGACACTGCCGTCCTGGCACAAGGAATGGCAGGTTCAATGGCAAAAGGTGTCTGTGGCCCTAAAGCCTAACCATGAGAGGTGCAGAATCGACCTACACTATGCTAGATCCGGTGTCTTCTGTGAAATGAGAGATGAACTCGATTTTACTTAAGGTCCTTTTCAGTTCTGTAAACTGAAGACTCTCAAGATGTACTTTAATCCTGCCAGTCAACAGCTCTGCAGCTTTTAGAGGACTTGCTCCAGTCTCTGGAGGAAGAACGCCAAGTTTAATCCTTTAGAGGTACCTATACCGGAGCTAATTTGTAAAACACCACGCTAGCTGCTATCAGGTTCCAGGTACAGCGCTGAGCGTTTCCTAAGCAACTGATAACGGCTGATTTCTCCAAAAGAGTGCTAGGGAGACGGTGATAAGATGGGGGCAGACAGACTTCAAAAAGAAAAGTCACTTAGCTATGATAAAAATCGTGGGCGGAAAAAGGAATTATTAGGGTTGGGGGCTACCTGCCTTAGAAACTAGGTACTCACAAACTGGGCGGGGGAGGGGGGCAGTGATGGCTGCGCAGCCTGATCAGGACGCCCGCCCACTAGCTAGAGCCGTAGGCCTGGCACGGTCGCCTGCAGCTAGCAGCCACGGGCGGATCGAGACTTCTGTGCCCCGGTCGGGGCCCGGCCCGCTGCGGGCCGGGCTCCAAGGTTGTACGGCGCCCGCGCGCGCGCCATCCCGCCGCCTGCGTTAGGCCCCGGAGGCCCACAGCGAAGGGCGGCTGCAGGCGCCGCGCGCCCGCACTCGCTCGCCGTTGCTAATTTCCTGCAGGGCCCTGACTGACATCTCCAACGGACCAGAAACACCCCTCTCCCCCGGCTACTTGCATCTGTCCCGCGACCGGTGCAGCTGCAGCCGCCACCCGGGCGGCTCGCGGCGGGAGGGACTGAGCCCGGAGCAGCACACGGGGGCAGGGCCGCGTTGCTTACCCAGACTCCGCCGCGGCGGCGGCGGGCGGGCGGGCGGGCGTGCTGCTCCTTGCGGGAGGGGCGGGCTCCCGCGCTGCGCACAGCACGCGGCAGCGCCCGCTCACGCACCCGGCGGGCTGCTCTCGCGCGGCTTCCCGCGCCGGGCCCACGTGACCCGGCTGCTGGGGGAGCCGGCGGCACCCGGACTGGGGTGCCTGCATGCGTGCGTGCGTTGCGTGCGTACGTGCGCGCCTGCCCGGGTGGCTAGGCGGGGGTCGGCCGGCGCTTCGGGCGCCTCTGCCACGGTCCCCCGTCGTGACTAGAGGCGGAAGTGTGGGGGACGAGCCCGAGCGTCACAGGCTCCCCCACACGCCTCCGCGTGACCCGGGGACTTTCCCCCGGCGTGTGCAAAAGCACGGGTGTCCCCTCGGCCCTGGGTGGGGACGGGAAAGGATGCGCCCGCGTGTGGGGTGGGAGCGGGGTGAGGGCGCGGGGCAGGCGGCCGCGCGCGGCCGGAGCCAGGGAAGGAGGCGGGCCGGGCGGGGCATGGCGGGGGAAGTGACTCAGGCCAGAGGCCGTCGGGCCCGCGCGAGGAGGGGTTGGGGTGGGGGGGCGCGGGGAACGGGCGACCCCGAGCGGACGAGCTTCAGGCGGGACGGGACGAGGGTGCCAGCGCCCCCAGAGTGTCCAGGGTGGAGCGCGGGGGCGGGTCCAAGTGCGGGGCCCTGCGGGGCAGGGGTCTGATAACTGGGCAGAGGGCGAGCAGCATCCAGCCCCGGGGGAGTCGGGAGGATCCCAGTGGCGTCCAGCTGTGCAAACAGGAGGAGGGCCAAGGCGACCCTGGGGAGAGGGACGAAGAGTGCAGCTGCTCCAGTCGACGCCCGGGCGCCCGCGTCGCTGCGGGCAGTGCCAGCCTCCTCGGCCCCGACGCAGAAACTTGTTGCAACCAACAGGCGACCGCGGGTGCCCCTAGCCGCCAGCGGCGGAGTGGGTGGGCGGGCGAGAGGGAGGGGAAGGCTGGCGGACGCCGCGGCGAACTGGTGGGCAGACCCGGAGTCGCCGCGTAAGCGGGGCCGGCTCAGTGCGGTGCGGCAGGCGCGGCTGTGCGGCAGCGGAAGTCCTTTGTTGCAGCGCAGTCCCTGGCTGAGCCGGAGTGTCTCGGCGCAGCCCAGCCGAGCGCCGCGCGCCGTCAACTGCAGCCCGCGGTCCTTCGCCTCCGCTCGCCCGCCCCGCGGCCCCGCCGCCCGAAACTCCCGAAAACCTCCGCAGCCGCGCGCCCCGCCGCGCCCGGTGAGTATCTGCCAGTCGTCGGGACGATTTGCGCAACTTTGACCGGGGCCCGGTCGCGCCGCGGGCCTGGACGAGTGCGTGGCCCGCGGCGGCGGCGGCGACCGGTGCGGGGGAGAGCCGGAGCGCGGAGGGCGCGCGGCAAGGATCCGGTGGCGGGGGACTGCTGAGCCGCCCTCCTGCTCGGTGTCGGCGGTCAGTCAGCCCAGTGCGCGCGGTCTCGCCGGATCCGGGACGAATCCCCCTCTCCAGACGACTTCCCAAATTACTTCTTTTCCCTTTATTTTATTTTGTGCTGGGGGAGGGGGGAGGGGAGGTGGAGGCGGGAGGCCGCGCTTGATTGACGGGCCCAGAGCGCGCTTCGCTAACTTCCAGCTGCGGCCGGGCGGCCGGTGGGAGGGGAGCGTCCCGGAGCCGGAGGCCGCACACTTGGGCGCGCTCCGAGGGAGGAGGCGGCTGGGCCGCGCGGATTCCTGCTTCGCCCTTTCCCACCCCCTCTCGTCAGTACACACGCTTTTTGTTCGGGTCAAAAGTGGTAGGTCTCGGGGGGGGGAGGTGGGGGGATTTTTCTGTGGATGAGATTTTTTTTCTGCCCCCCCCCCGAGTCCCGAGAAGAAAGTGCTTTTCGGAAGCCTCCAGTGGTGGGCGCTTACAAGTAACAAGTTCTGGGAGAGGCGGTGAGCGAGTTGGGTGGCGATCGGGAGTCCTTACGACTGAAGCGTGCAGGCGTGGGTCTGAGCTCAGCCGCCGCTCCCAGGCTGCCTTTCCACCTGAGCCACCCGTCCACGTGATCACGGGGGTTGACAAGACATTTTCCAACTCGGTCGCGTCTGGAACAGGTTAATGAAAGTCCTTGTTTTCTGGGGCTAGGGTGTTTGTATGTTTGTGATCGTGTTCCTAAGTCGAGTGTCGCTGCGAAGGTACAAGTAGATTCTCTGCTGTTCAGAATGCATTTCCGTACAGTTTGTATCGCTGCGGCAACACTTTGCTGGAATCCACAAAGCGTTCCAAGCATTTTTTTTTAACCCCTTTTTTGAGACAAGGTCTGGCAAGATAGCCCAGGATCGCTTGGACGTTATTCTCCTGCCTTAGGGGATCCTAAGTTCTGGGGTGATACACATGAGCCACCAAGCCTGGTTTTGTGTTCTGAAGATCACTTAGAATTAATTTCTTGAGCTGAAGTTCGAGGCACCCTGAAGCAGATTTGGGGAAACGATGTAGTTCCTAAGATAACTTTAAAGCAGCCATGGTTTTAAAAAGAGTACAAGATAGATTCTCTGGAACTTTGTCACCTCAAATGGATGTGATCTGGAGAGATGTAGAGGATGAAAGTGTAGGAGTCTGAAGCCTGAATGATGGCTGGTTGGTTCCCCGGAACCGTAAAACTTCCCTTTTGAATCACTTGCTGTTATCTCCTAAAGTCTCCGTAATTACTGAATAGCATTAGGAGCCGCTCGGGGTTTTTTCCTTTTCAAGAAATAGATGGAAGTAAAGTAGAAAAGAGATGAAATGCCTTTCCAGAGGTTAATAAGTATAAATTCTGTAGTACAGTGTTGGTTGTAGCAACTTACACCCATTTTAACAACAGTATTTCTCTGTTGACACCAAAGTTTTACAGGGTGTGGTTGTGCATGCCTATATTTCCAGCACTTCCAGAGAGGCTGGACCTGGGCTACATAGCAAGACTCTTTTTATAAACAAAAAACAAAACTCAGGGCTAGAGAGATGATGGCTCAGTGGTTAAGGGCACTTGCTTTTTTCCTTCCAGAGGAACTGAATTTGACTCTCAGCACCCACATGTACTAGGCAGCTCACAACTGCTTGCAACAACTGCTTGCAACTCCAGTGCACATGCCCCTCCCCCACATGAATACATAATTAGAAATAATTTTTTAAAAGTGAACTCTCTGTTTTCATAATACTAAATTCCTCCAGTTTCTAACATCATGCTTACAGTTTTAAACCAGTGAAGGTGGTGGGGACATCATTGCCAGAAAAGAACCCATTTTTAACCAGGGCATAAGCATAGCTTCTTGACTGTGTGTGTGTGTGTGTGTGTGTGTGTGTGTGTGTGTGTGTGTGTGTGTGTGTGTGTGTGTGTGTGTGTGTGTGTGTGTGTGTTCTGTAGGGCCAGGCTGGCCTCAGATCTGCCTTGACCATGTGTGTGTGTCTGTGTAGTCTATATAGACTTGGCTGGCCTCAGATCTGCCCCTAGTGCCAGAATTAATGGCATGCATCACCAAGTTGGCTGTTTTTTCTTTCGTTTTGATTTTTTTTTTTTTTTAAAGCTAGACTCTTGCCTTGTGGTCCAGGACTGGCCTTAACTTTCTATCCTGCTCCAACCTTTCAGCTAGTGTTGGGATTAACAGGCCTGTGCTACCACACCAGGTTCTTTACCTTGTAGGTTTTGTTCGTTTTCTGAAAACAGGGTCTCACAGCTCTAAACCGGACTGACCTGGAACTCTTAGAGATGTGTCCACATCTGACTCTACAGTTCTAGGGTTAATGGGTTATGCAGCAAAGCCTGCCCAGAACTTTGTGTTTTGATTTCATGGTAGCTGCTAAATTTTTGTACCTTCTGCTTCCTCATTCTCCACATTTGTCAGTTTCTGGTGCAATCATGGTCCCTTTTCAAAGAGTCTGAGTGCTCCCTGTAAAAAACCATTTTTATTTTTCTAACACTCAGGAAAAAATGTCGCTGCCCTTTGGGGAGGAGGGGTTCGTCTTCTTTAGCCAGGACAGACTATATCTTTGCCTAAAGGGAGAGGGAGTGAGAATGGGACATTTGTGATAGGAATGCTAAAAAAAAAAAAAAAAAAAAAAAAAAAAAAATATATTTTTTAGGCTGCAATCTTTGGGGGTGAATATGTAAAATATATGCTTCAGAGTTCGCTTTGGTCTCTGGTGTTCTTCTGATGGATTCTTGTGCTAGTGTCTCTGGTAATAAAATAGTGAAAATGCTCAGCTATTCATTCATAGTTTCTCCTGTGAGCCTTATTAATTTGTGTCTATTTTTCTTTAAAGTGGGAATGACTTTTTTTTTTTTTTTTTTTGAGACAAGGTTTCTCTTTTCCCTGAGTAGCCCTGCCTGTCTTGGAAGTCTGCTCTGTAGACCAGCCTGGCCTAGAACTCAGATATCCACCTGCCTCTGCCTCCCGAGTGCTAGGTGGAATACTCTGCTCTTTAGTAAAGTACATAAAATACAAAACTGGAAGTTGTTCTGACTCCCACTCCCCAGTGGTAATCATGTTGTAAAAGTACGAAGGCAGCATCCAAGCATCTTGCTGCTATGTGAGCCTCGTGCTGGCCTTTCTTGTTTATAGGCTCATGTTCTTTTTTCATAACTCAGATTGGTGAGAACTACCAGGTACAGAGAAAGGAGGCAGGGTTTTTTGTATTGAGCTGATGTCAAATCTATGATTTAGTAACGTGTAAGTTTTTAAGTTTAATAGAGCTGTTTTAGTTTAGTCCTCATGAAGTTTACCTTAGTGGGCTTCTCAATCTTTGCAAATATTGCAGTCTATTACCTGATTGATTTATGCAGGTTAAACTCATTAAAACAAACCCCTCATGTGTAGAGAGCTTCCTAGCTTACCATTGGGAATGAGTGGGTATATTTGCCTCTAAAACCTCTGCCAAGATAACCCTGTGCCTTTTTGTTATGGTATAGGTTCGTCTTGATCAGCATCCAAAGCTGCAAGAGAAACATGATTGGAAGGAAATCAGAAGGAAGGGAGTCTTAGTGAGGGTGTTTATTGTTTTAGCATGGGAAAGACTAACAGTTGGGTGGGGGGAGCAAGGACTCTGGCCTGAACTTTACACATTTGGCATCTCATATATTTAAGGTGGGTGTCTTAACTGAACTGATATTTTGTTCTGTGTAGTCATTAGAGAGTTAGCCTGGTGTCAAGAAGGATGAGCTGTGAAGTTGGTTTTAATAA